CAGCCTCTCTGCGCCCTGCTTGGAGTCGGAACCCTGTCCAGGGTCCTCCACATCCTCCAGAGCCAACTCATAAGGCCCCTCGCTGTCAAAGTCTGGTGGCAGCTCCAACGACTCCTGCTCGGCCACAACAATTAGCCACAGGTAATCTAATATTTATGATTGACAAATTGCACCAGACATTATAGCTGTTTTGAAGGAGATACAAAAGCTCATATGTAAAACCAAAATATAGATAAAGCTAAAATGGTCCAATCACAGATTTTTAAGGGCAAAATCTCTTCCAGATTTTAAGTTGCGGAGACTCACTGATGGTGGTACATTGAGAGTTGTGTACATCCCAATAATCAAGCATAATTATGAGTAGCATTTCTAAAATATTAAATTGATAGTACCATGTGGATTAAATACTGTGTGTATTGAGATTAAAGAGCACTGTGGGACACCTTTCCTCCTTAGCAGAAAACACAACAAACTAAAAGCATTTACTGTACAAATTTCCAATATTTGAAAAGTGTGATTGAAGAGCTTCTGCCCAGCAAATAGACTATGGGGAGGAATTTCTACTTAAAAAGTAATTAAAAGACCAGGGCATCTAATGCTGAAAAAAAAACACATCAGTGATAGGGATCATTGATTCAGCTCCAAAGCAGACAATCTTATTTTCCTCTTGCTAATTAAATCTTCCATGGCCAATATTTCCCTTCAACTTTTTTTGCTGTAGGTATAGCTGAAATGTTATTTCGGTACTACAGAAACCGGAAACAGCAGGCCAAATATATGACTCATGAATGCAAATACCTTGAATAATAATACTTAGAGTGACTTGATATATAGTCCCCTCCTTTGGAACCATAGCTGAAACATTAATTACGATACGGCACTAAAGACATTTCAACTCTCTTGACTTTATCAACTTTCTCTGGTGGGATGGAGCACCGTTTATGATCCACAGCCATTATTATCAATTAGTAGAATGAAGCTAAAGGATACTGCAATATTCCAATTATCACTGAGTTCCCTAATGTTAAATTATGAAAGCTTTTTAACTTTGCTGTGAAAACAAAAGAATGATTATTCCATCAGCTTGTACAAAAAAATATGCTACCCTTTAATTAGTCCTGTTCGATGGATTGTGAGATATTCAATATGTGCCATTACTTTTTGAACAATCCCAGATTACCAATCCTGAACCATTAACCAACTATAGGTAAAGTTAAAAAGCTTTCATAATTTNTATCTCATCTAGCTATCTTATCTCATCTATATCATCCATCCATCCATCCATCCATCCATCCATCTTATCTATCATCTATCTATCTATATCATCTAGGTACCATCTATCCACTCTATTATTTATCCATCCATCCATCCATCCATCCATCCATCCATCCGTAGCAGGGGGTCCCCAAACGTGGCAACTTTAAGACCCCTCCCGGGAGTTGAAGTCCACAAGTTTTAAAGTTGCCAACTTTGAAGACCTCTGATTGACAGAACTCTTTTCTGGGATACGCCCACTCTCCGGCCCCGCCCACCACGCCACACCCCACCGCGGCGGCTCCACCCTTCCTTGGCTTAGCCCCGCCCCTCACCGCCTCCTCCGGCCCTTGCTGTTTCGACCTTCGCCTCAGATTGAGGAGAGGCGGCGACTCGAGGCTCGGATTCGTCGTTCGCGGGTACAAGCAGCCGCCTCCCGCTCCTCCTCCTCCGCCGGCCATCTTCCCTACCGAGGCCGACTGCTTGCCAATCGGCGGATCTCTCCCCGCTCAGCCTCCGCCGCGGCTCATCGCCCCGTAACCGTCCCAAACAGCGCGCGGAAACGGTGCCGCGCAACGGTTGGCCGCCGCCGCGTCAATCACGCCCGGAAGCGGCCAATGGGTGGCAGCCTTTGCGACCAACGGCCCGCCTCCAACTTAGAAGCCTTCCGCACCGGGCGCGCGCCGTCGCTTTCCTTTGGACCAATCAGGTGGCGCCGTCCCAGCCGCCGCCCTTCTACGCAGGTCCGCGGGTTCGAATCTGGCCGGACCCGCCCAAATTTCGAACATTGCCTTCTTTTTTCCCCCCCTTACTTTTGTCTTTGTTCAAGGTTTCCACTTGCTCGCCAACTCCATTGGATCCCAGTGGTTCCATTAAGATCAGCAAAGGGATGCTGATTTAACACAAGTGTTTTTCGATCTGGGGCACTTTAAGATGCTGGCTGGGGAATTCTGGGAGTTGAAGTTGTTAGGGGTATCTCCGTTGGGAGGCAGAAAGTAGTGCAGTGGAATGTGCAGCTGGAGAGAAAGAATGTTGCAAGAATAGAGTTTCAGACGCTGCTAGTAAAAACAAGTAGTTTTACTACTGATAATTGCTTCACAAGCAGTCATAGTAGATATTAGATATTAGTCCAAACACAATTCAAAGAACAAACAGTAGCTTACAGTCGCAGTTCACATTCCAGCCATCAAGCATAGGACAAGCAGAGAGAAGAGAGAGAGCTCTCTTTGACTCCTTCTTATAGTAAAGTTAATTACAGCTGTTAAGTACATCCACTCATTTAAAGCAACAACAACCATTTGTTGTTGTATTCAGTGGGGTTTATGTTTGTGTCTGTATTGACCGCAGGGGTCCCCAAACTTGG